CACCCTCAGGTTAGGAGCAAATGTGTTTGTTTTGGTGGCAATACCAGCAAATAGTCCTGCCCACGTTGCAGTGTGCCACAGGAGTTTGGAGTGTTGTGGCAAGGAGTGGAAGGGCACAAAACGTGATGATGTCCGCCGGTATCCCAGGAGGCACTTGCAACCCCTTCTTCTAGACCACTCAATTGACTATGGGATGTAAGCTTTATTGCACTGTAGGATTATTTGGGGAAGCTTCCTGGCAAGCTTGACCTTCTATCTGGACAGTGCTGCCAGAAGCAGCTTTATTGGAAAGTGTCACTGCAAGTCCTAGTTACAACTTGTGCCTTTGCACTGCTACAACAGCACTGTACTCATGCTGTCACTTGGGTAGCTGGCTGTGGAAACAGAGCAGTGCCAGTCCTTGCTTGGTCATACTATAGGGGCTGGTATGTGCATCAAGCATTCAGAGGCTGTGAGCAAGGTATTTTGTATAGAGTGGAAAATGTCCAGCAGAAAGCAAGACCTAACTCCTCAGTGCAGGCTGCCCCGGTTGCTTTACATGAACTTGGCAGGAGTGGCAGTGGTTGTGAGCTGTCACCTTTTCTGTGCAATGTCTGAATTTGAGAGAAGAGCAAGAAGAGACATATAGGAGGATCACCAACAGAGGCAAAACTTCAGGAGGAAGATGATGGTGTCCATGAAGGTCTGTACAGAACCTCTTACACGATGCAACAGACAAACAACATTGAGATCCTTGCTGAGCAGCAGGAAAGGCAGCTGCCTAAGTTGCTTAGAAGCTGGTGGGCATCGATGTATTCCTCTATCAGTCAGTTTGGAGTTGAGATGACAACAGCCAGCTGTGCAGCATGGGAAGCTGCAGCAGCATACCAAATTTTCTTGGCCTTGCGTGTCTGTGGGTGATGCATATGTGGCCAATAATGGCAACGTTCTTAGGCACGGGATGTCCTAATGGTGTTATCATTGGAGAGACTTGCACTGCTTCTCACCAAGCACAGTCCACCAGTGACAGAAAGGGGGTTTAATTTTGTTTGCAGCAGGCTGGAGAGCTCCTTATTGTCATAAGTGCTGCGAATCTGTGTTTTCCACAACGCCAGCCTAGTTAATGTCTTACAGGAGCCAAGCAGAAATAGCGGGTCAGCAGCTCTGTTAAGATAATCAAAGCGGTGCTTGGCACAAACTGACCTCGCTGAGCAGCCTCAGACAGACCAGCCTTGTGAAGACTGGCAGCTTGGCTTGCCAAGAGCTGTGCTGTTACTGCCCTGGCAGTGGCTGCCTGTTGTTTGCTATGGGTTTCATGTGAGGCAGCCAGAGAGGAGCCCCCCAGGGTTGGACTGCAGGCAAAGTCCCTTTCCTGAATTCTGTTTGAGTTATGTTCATACAATCAGAGAGTTGCACTGGTGGAAAGAGACCTCTGGAGGTCCTGCTAGAGGGAGATCCAGGGAGAGCAGATTCTTCAGGGCCGTGGGCAGCTGAGTTCTGAGTATCTCCACGGACAGAAATCCCACGTGCTTTCTGGACTTCTGCCCCAGTGTTTGACCACCTTCATGGTAATTTTTTTTCTCCTCTTACTGAGTTGGGAATTTCTCATTTTCCAACTAGCACCTGTTGCCTTTCACTGTGCACCTCTGAGGAGAACAAGGCTCCCTTTCCTCCATACCTATTAGGTTGTTGTAAACAGCAATAAGGACTCTTGGCCTTCTCTTCTTGAGACTGAACAGACCAGTTCTCTCAGCAGCTCTTCAGTACAGCAAGTGCTCCAGCCCAGTATGGCAGTGTCTTTTGTACTGGGGGAATCCAAAACTGGATCCAGATGGCACTCCAGATGTGATCTCAAATCAAGGGGAAGAATCACCTCCCTTGAGCTGGACACAGCCATTCTAGAGCAGCCCAGCGTGTGGTAGCCTTTGCTGCAACAAATTTTTCATGTAGGTGTTGTAGTTGCACAAGCAGGTTTCCAGCAGCACCAATGATGCTGTCAGCATCTGCTATAACTCTTTTCAGGTGCACACAGAATCTAGGTATAACATGGCAGCTTTGTTGAAAGCCTTTCGTTGTTGTTTGCTGGAAAGGTGTGTGTACATGAGTGTGAAAGTAAATATTGAGATGTTCTTTTTCCACTGAGCAGGCAAAAGGGCAGATGCAATTCTAGCTTGTGCTAGAATTTGAAACTGTTTCTCTGCCCTGAAGGATAAAGTTCGAGTTTCTAGCGGAAAATGGTGATTTATTGTGAACAAATGTATGATAATTTATTAACAGATAGCTGAACACTAAGTATGCAAAGCCAGACAGCAGAGCCTATTGTAGGCCAGCTGCTAAAGTTAGTGGGATGCACTGTACTCACTCTCATGTGTTGCTGATGTCCCTGCAGTGTCTCCCGTTTCTGGCAGCTTTGGAGCATGAGGCGAAAGCTCTGATGGGGAAGGTGTGGAACAAGGGCCAGAGGATGGAGGAGCACAACAGGGTGGGACACATTAAAGGGGCAGCAAATGCACCTGAGGTGTTGCAACAGCTCTCATCATTGCTGATATATTTTGGCCTTCATCTTACTTCGTGCCTGCGTTTCTGTGGAATGGGCTGACAGTGAATATGCTGGCTGCCTGGCTGTGATCCACAGTAGTGACAGATCAGTCCACCTACTTCAAAACTGCTTGTGCTTGCTTCGACTGATGTCTCCATTGTCACAACAGCCTTTTCCCTGCCTCCAAGCTTACATGACCCTCATCTGAAGCAGATATCTATCTCTGTGCCTATTTTCCTTCAGACATGAGTGAAAAAATTATGGTAGTGATTGCTCATTCTTTGCTTGGGCACATAAGCATCCCTCAAAGGATTGTCCTCACCTGTTCATTCCTGTTTTACCCAGTTCTGGTGATGTTAGTAAGCTGGGTTTGCCCAAGAGAAAGAACTCGTGAAGAACTACTGCTGCTTGGAAGTGGCATATTCACTCCTAGCCCCCATGGAGCATGGCAGCCCTGACAGAGGGGGTAAACACCCCAAGACCCTCTGGCTATAGAATGGGAAAGGCAATGCCTCTGCCTCCCTGTAGGCCGCTGATGCTGTGGCACTGATACATAAGGACAGCCAGAGAATGTCTTCCCCCAGGTCAAGTGGGACTGGGACAGTGTACCCCATCACTGCTACCACGTATCTTAGAAGAAGGGGGACCCCTCAAGTTTTAGCAGAGAAGCCAGCGTCCTGGAGACTGAGTGATGAAATACTGCTCTGTCGAACTACCACTCAGCGTTAGGTCCCTGATACAATAACTGGGGCCCAGTGTGTAACATTCTGCCTCCTCTTTGGGGTAGAGCAGAGGAAGGCAACTGAGCCGAGCTGCATTTTTACCAGACTTTTTTTTTAACGAGTGACATTATTTATCGTTATCCTGAGCATCTGATGCCAGCCTTTGGAAAGCAGTTGCAGTGTGCTTTCAGCAGCTTAAGCTGTGGGAATAGCTGTGTTGCTAGGGATAGGCAAGGCTGACAGTGTGATGAGGGGTATGGCCAAATCCTGAGTTAAGGTCAGTTAAGGCAGCGGCCCTCAAAATAGCTAAGAAAGCCTGAATGTCGAATGTCACAGGCGTTTGAATAAAGCTTCTTCAAAAAAGACCACAGCTCTGAGACCGCGTTTAAAGGAAGGAGGATGATATCCGCACATAATGATGCAGAATTCAGGAAGCAAGAAGGTCTGTGGTTGGCTTTGGGAGGCCTTGGGCTGGTCTAATGCAAACGGATGCCCAAAACAGAGCAAAGCTTGTTGGCCAAAAATTAACCCACCATCCCTTTCTGAACAGATTTTTACTAGAACAGCACTTCTTATGTTCACGTGGCTTTTTTTATCATGCCTGCAGTGTTTCTGATCTAGCTCTGGGAAACTTGCAGATGGCTTTAGCAGATCATCGGATTGCGTTCTGGCATCTAAAAGCTGATTAATAACAGCAAAACGTGTTGGAAGGGGCGGTGGTGTGGGAAGTGGTCTGCTGGGGGGGGGCACTAGTGAATGGAAGCTGACTAAAATGATCAGGAGCCCACTGCAAACAAGCAGAAACAGAGCAGAGGAACACTCAATCTACTGCATGGGTTCAGGAGGGTATCAAACGTGGAAGTGCACACAGCTTTTGTCCTAAGTCCACTTCTCTGGGCATTGTGCACCTTGTTTGGCAAAATAAAGTTCTAGTGCATCTGTCATAGCATGCTCTTGCTGCCTACAGGTTTACAAAGGGGTGTGATCGCAAGGCCTTAGGTTATCATAAAGTAATTGAGCCTAAAACCGTAACAGCTGATGACTCTTTGAAGAGAGCTTTGATCTCGAGATCCTGCCATGAACACGGAGAGGTTTTGGTTTCCCACCTCTAGGGAACTGGAAAAGCATTTTGGAAGGGCCTTTTTCCCTAAGACACAATGATGTTATCGGTTTAGTGGTACCTGAAGCACCGCTTTGTTGCTGCTGTGTTCTACAAAATACACCATTTTATAACTTGTATAAATTTGAACCCTGCATTTCTTCCCCCCTAACTCCCACTTAAACTGTTAATATTTAGGGGGAGGGAGGGAAAGGAGGATGCCATGGGATGGATAATAGAGACTGTCACCACAGATCATGTGTTTAAGTCAGATCTCTCACCAGTTACTGAACAAGAAAACTCTGTGCTGGCTGATTGTCTGCAATTATGAAATCAGTGTAAAATTCAACTCTTCTGGTCCTGACTGGAGACTCTAATTTTAGAAAAAGGTTTATATTCTTGGTCTGTAGACAAAAGCCCAAAGAAAGTGAGCGGTGGCAGTAGAGAATGGCATTTTCCTCCTGCATGCAGCAGTGGCAAAGCTACAGCTGTAGTGTGGATGGAGTAGTTCATTTGAAAAAAAAGGCCATTCTGTTTCTTTAGAAGCAACTCTGGGATGAAATCTTTGGTATTACTGCCACAGTGAAATAATAAGCGTGGTTGCTAAGTGATTGCCAGAAAGTAGGCTGAAATCTGGAAAATACATTGCTAATAACTCTTCTTTTCTTTGCATGCAGGGAAACAGCTGGATGGCATCTGGTAAGTGACTAGATTTGAATTGCGTCATGTGTGTTAAACACTGTGTGGTGTAGGAAGTATTTTCAATACGAGATTATATATGCTTCAGGTCTTAAGAACATTTTGGTACTAAAGAGAGTCTAAGGCACTTTCTGTTCCTGAATATGGATTAACAGGAACATGATATACAGTCAGGTGCTGGTTAAACTCCATTCAGAGCTCAGTAGACCTCATGTAAAAATTTTTGGTAGTAGTCATTGCATTTTAGTGTGTTTGTACCCATTTTCAGGGGTAGGATTTTGTCCTTGTCCCAAGCACTTTGTCTTCTAAATGCAGGCATTACTAAATGTGACAGTAAAAGAGTAGGTGGGAAGAAGGTATTACAGAATCAGGCCTTTTGGCAGATAAGACCACTGGCTACATTTGGTTGCAAAACACCTCCTAGTTTGCTATAATTTCTATCAAGCTTTTTTTTTTATTTTTAAAAAAGGCAAAAAAACCCCAAATCCCAAACCCTTGTCCATCCATTTTCTTCTCAGTCCATCTCCAATGATTGTCAGTGTCCATCAAACATGACCTTCTGTCAGTGTGGTAGCAGGGTTTACTCTGTCTCTGTGACTTGACCCTCAACCCTTCAGCTGAAAAAGGCTGCTGAAGATCTTACACTGGTGTGGAAGTCCCTATGTTCCTTCATGCTTGTGTACATAGATAAGCCTGTTCTTTCCCAACTGCTTACAGATTTACAGTGGACTCGATAATCATTGCTTCCATATCTATTCATGTCCCAGCAGATCCTGTCCCTACTCAAAGAAACACATTGACCTTTTTGTTCAGTTACTCACCTCATGATGTCCTTGAGCACATGAATTTACCAGTGATTTATGTTGCTAGGTTAAATATTTCCTTTGTTTCACCTGTTTTTTATTCTCTGTGGCAGGCACACCTCCATAATAGTCCATAAGGATGAGTTCTTCTATGGCAGTGGAGGAATCTCCAGCTGTGCACCTGTAAGTTAAACTTGTTTTTCTCATAAGGTAATTTTGTGATGGGATTACCCAATCAGCATTGCTTCTGTCACTCTTTTTTAGAAAAGCAGCAAGATGCTTCTGAATTCAGCTAGATGTGGCTGCTTGCCATGGTTGCCCGGTGTATCTGAGGACAAGTGAGCATGGACAGTGGGTTTAAGCCCAATTAAATACAGGGTGGTGATTGCTTGTGCTAGTGGAGTCTGTCTATCCAAGACACCTTCTGCAGCTGCATTGCCAGAGTGACACCTTGTCTAATTCTGTATCGAAAGGTTTTACATGCAGACTTGGCAACTCAAGGCATCCTTTTTAAGATAAAGAAAAAAATTTGTGATGCTTTGTCAGACCTTTCTGTTCTTGGAGAAGCAAAACTGATGGGCTGTTCTTCTAAAGTAGAATTTTGCCATAGTTTGCAGCTTTCAGCACAAAGAGCCAAGTATGCAAGCTGAAATGTAAGTTGCGTGTTATTTCTTATTCTCTGAGTGCAGAGCAGGGGAGACCAGTAGGGCTTTTTGCTTGAGAAACATACTAAAAGATCCTCTTTTTCTGCCTGGACAAGCCATGATAGCTCTGTTCAGTAGAGTCCTCCAAAAGAATTCAGTCTGCTCATTTAGCATTGTCTTCTGGCTGTTCTTTTTTACAGGGAGGGACACTTCTTGGCCCCCCAGACTCAGTTGTTGACCTGGGGAACACAGAAGTGACAGAAGAAATTTTTCTGGAATATCTTTCCTCATTGGGGGAATCTATGTTCCGGTAAGCAGTAACTTGTACTATAAAATCTGTGTAACAAAAAAAGCCTTAACGAAAGGGGTGTAGAATAGAGGGAAGTATTATGAAACCAATCCTGCTCACAAAGCTTTGGCTGGCTGGTGTATTATTTGGTACTTTCCAAATATGAGACTGGAACTAATGCACCAGTACACAGGGAACCACCAGCTAGGCAACCCTCTGGTGTGCCAGCCTTGAGCTAGCTGGAAAGTGTTCTGCCAGGAAGTCTTTCACACTGTTTTTCGTAAAATAGAATAATGCCTGAAATGCCTTTAAGAGAGTCACCAGGAAAAATGAAGGCACTTTTTGAAATATTTCAGTAAATAGTGCTTTGCCCCATGAGTCATAGGTGAAGCATTGTAGTAAAGCTGCCAACTTTCAGATGAGTAAAAGCAAGGTCTTGGCTGTTAAAGAGTCTAGTGTACTTCTCACAGGAACAGGAAACAGTAGCATTTAGTGTTCTGGCTATATTTCAATGTCAGTAATTCCTGTGATTTCTTATTCCTTCTGTGGTTTTAACTGAAGAAACCTGACCTCACTTATCCTCCAAAAAAAACAGTGTATAAAGTCAGTGATGCAGAGAGATGTCATTTTCCACCCTGACTCAATTGAATTTGAAGGTGAATTGATGTCTGTATTTTACCTATTTGCCTTAGAATTCTTTGTTGGGGGAAATAGTGCTAGTGTAAGGAGATATTCCTCATTAGGGGTCTACATTTTTCTGCTTGTTAGATTTATTGCTGAATCTGTCTTTATGTTTCAATCCCTTTCCTGTGGCACAGAGGAGAGTCCTATAACCTCTTCGAACATAACTGCAACACCTTCAGTAACGAAGTGGCACAGTTTCTGACGGGAAGAAAAATCCCTTCCTATATCACTGACCTTCCAGCTGAAGTTCTTGCCACGTGAGTGTGCATGCTGCTCCTCTCTATAGTGTATTGTTTCGTGCTAATGCTTAAACATTTGTCAGAGCCAGCGGCACCAGTATCTGCTGGCTTTCTCTGAGAACCAGTGAAAGATCAGGGAGAGGATGCTATTTGCTTTACTTCAACAGTTACAGCACTGTATGGCAAGTGGTGACTGACCACTGGCATTACTAAGACAACAGGAGAAGGGTCTTCTTCTGCCTTTAACTTAAACTAGTTGTTTTGTGATGGTCTTTTATATGTGACCAGAAAAGCATAGAAAGTTTCAGAAAATGGTGCAACTGGTATCTGTCAAAGGTCACTTCTCTTACTCCAAGCACCACAATTGCTGTGGAGGTGTCAGCTTTGCTTGTGAAGAGGCAGGGGAGATGTAATTTTAAAATTACTGCTACCATTTTAAAGATATTAAAGACAGGAAATGGAGAATTCTTGCCTGGTAGGTCAGCTCAACCTTTTTTTGTTTTGGTTTGGTTTTGGGTAGTCTGAGCTAGTGAGGATCTCATTGGGATGATTTGAGCTGCATCTTTTAGGCCTTATTTCTCCTAGCAATAGTATGCCACATTATATGGGAGGCACAAGTCTTCTACTCCAGGCTCTTACCTCCTTTCAAAATCAAATAAAGTCTATAACAGTGAGTCATATTGAAAGATAATCCAGGTGCTACAGATTGGAACAGAAATTATTCTGAGTATGTTAAGCCATTGTCTTATACAGGGGCTAGAGGATATTATTCTAGAAGAATCTTTAGTATCGATATGGTACTTAATGGAGCACTGCAGTTGCGTAACAGGGGTTTTGTTCACACACTTAAGTCGAACGAATTACTAAAAGCTGATTTCAGACATAGGATTGCCACATTAGCAGTCTGGGCATGTTACGACTCGGAACTAGCTTATATAAAGTCATGTTTAAAATTATTAGTGATTGAACAGTAAACTTTGTTTAGTGGGTTCAATTTGTTTGCTTTAGTTTGTAGTCGAAGTTTGTTTTTCAAATTTGCTTCTACAATATTGGTTTGATTGTACTCTAGGACATGAGTGCACTTTAGTAGTAAATGGAGGAAGTTGTTCATCAAGTAAGGTATTTGTTTATTTCTTTACCTTCCCAGACCTTTTGGACAAGCTTTAAGGCCCCTCCTGGACTCCATCCAGATCCAGCCACCCGGAGGAAATACCTTCAGCAGACACAATGGACAGAGCTAACAGGAGTGACCCAGCGTGCCCAGCCTCACCAGGCCTCTTCCTTTTTAAACATGAATCTACCAGATTTCTATTTTATAATTTCACATCAGAATTAACTCTACAGAAGTTGCAAGTTTTAAAATTTCCTAGGGAGAGGATTTATCAGGGTGCATGTAAGACAATGCTACCAAAAAGATTGCCATAATTTCTAATAGTATTATACTAATTTATAAAGGCTGTCTTGTCCCAGTAGGCTGACACTTTCTAAGTAACTCCTGTGCTGGTAAGTGAGAATTCATTCCATGAGCATTCAAGGGCCCATTACACGATTTGGAGTAAATAAGAGGATGTCCTAGCCATCCCTTGCAGGCTTGCATCTCTTTCTCCTGTCACTGCCTATGTTATGGGGGTATTTGCTGAAGTCTGTAGCAAAAAGACAAAGGAAGTATGGGTAGCCTAGGAATTGAAGGCATCCCAGGATTAATCTTCTGCATATTTCATTCACGTTGTTATTTGCTCAGGGGAAAAGCCGAACTCACCTGATGAGAGTATTTGCAGTGGCACAGCTGTGTTGGAAAGGTGAACTGTGTGTCAATGTCACACTCAGAAGTTGAGACTTTCAATGGGACAAGCTGTGTGTGACAGGCCGGAACTGAAGGTGACTGAAGAGCCTCCTAACGCTGGATCCAAGAGTTACAGGAAAGAACCAGCTGAAAGACCAGAATCTCATGAGCAGAAGTGGTGGAAACAAATTTAAGGTGAAAGTAAAATGAAGTTAAATGTTTCGTTTTCTTGCATGTAAGCTTTTCAGCAGATAGACAGAACCTTCTTAACTATTTACCTTTGCATAAGAGTTGTGGGTTTTTTTCTTACCAAGCCAGAGTTACAGTACACTACGGGAGGAATAGCACGGCAACTGCATGATAATATAAGGTGGACCAATTCTGCCTCCAGTATCGAGCTGCAGACACAGTAGGAGTTCCAACTTTCTTTGATATTTCTGTCCTTTCCAAAACAGTCAAGCACATCACAGAGAGGGCTCTGCTTAAATGTAAGAGAAATAAGTGGTAGGTCTCTCCAAATGTAAAAAAAAATTAAAAATAAGCTTTTCTATGGAACAATTGAGTTTACTGGGATACGTGCAGAAGCAGTCCTGTCTTTAGATTGACATTAGATTGTATTAATACTGCATCTTCTAGGTTAAGATTCTTACAGCTTTGCAATTATTTGCAGTGGAAAAAGGTCAGGGGAATGAAAGAATAGGCACACTGATTTTGTTTCATGCATGTGTATGTACACTATTTTCCTGACCAATTTTGTAGCAGTTACACTTAGGAAGGAGCACAAGACAGACATCGGACAAACCCCAAAACATTGCTGATGCTCCATAAATGGGGATTGCACGTCCCAGATGCTGCTGAAAAAGCATCTATGCAAATGTATAGCCCTTTGTCCAGTGCTTTGTTGTGAAAAGTAGTGCTACAAGTTCTGTCCTGCATCTCAAACTTCCTGCACTGGAAACTTCCTGTGTACCTAAAGGAGATGTCTTTCCTCTCCTAGGCTTTTTCTCCCAGAATAACACAGTTCGGTAAGTTTCTCACACTATTGCTCCATGTGGACTGTAGTGGTTCAATTTTTGAGGGGATGGGATGGAGGGAAGCTGCAGTTTAGTCATTGTCAAATACTCTGTTGCCCCGCACCTTGTGGAGTCACTGCACAAGTGGAAATCGGGTACTGTCAGTCCATTTCACAGCTTTGTGTGCCTGCTCTCAGTGCACAGCAGTGGCCCTTGCAACTCAGACTTTTATTCCTTGTCATTCTCTGCTTTGTGCCATCCACTTCTCAAGCATTTCATTTGATGGACTGGACTCAGAGACAGCTGTAGCAGTTAGTGCAGATCAGTTTATACAAAAGCTTTCAATCTTTCCCCATCAAAATGTCCTGTTTGCAGAAAACATTCAATATAAATAATTTATGAATGCCTTTTAACGCTCCTGGAGGAAGGATTGGTGTTTGTTTTCTGCTAAGCCATAGCTTAGTTTTCCTGTTTAGTATGGATATCCTCTCCAGTCTTTTCCCACCCCTGTTCTGTGAAGAGTAACCAGTCTCTCATCTTAACGCACACGACTGTGCCACAAAATGCTGTAGCATGTTAGAGATGTTGGAGCTTCCTCAGCTGAATGGGTACACTCAAGCTGATACAGTGCAGCCCAGCATCTAGGTGTGCCGGTTCAGTACCTGCAAGCAGCATGGCTGTGGCTGCGTGTCTTTCTGCAAACTGTCACTGCAGGCGTAGGTGCCTGTGGTGGAAGCACCGGTGCCATGATTTCTGCCCCATGCTCTTGCACAATGAGGGTAGCCCCTGAATGTCCACCACTTTAGAGGTCCTGAGCCTGGTTTCTGCTTGGCTGCCTGCTTCGGGACTTTTTACATTCTCTCAGGAGGCAGGAAAGAAAAGGTTCACCCCATGCATTTTGCAGTCTGCCTTCTCCCCTCCTGAGCACCCCTTTTGCAGAGATAATGCCGCTACTTGAAGATCACTGGCTAAAATTTCACTCAGCAACGTACTGTTTGCAATAGCCAAGGAGTTCCTGGAGTTTCTTCCGAGCTCGGGACCCACTCTGTGTTTTGTGGCAAAAGAACTATGGGAGCAAATCCTGCTTGCCTGGTCTTACTGGGTAACATGAGCACTGTACTCTGTAGCCCTCTTAGGAAACTCATTTCTCCAAAGATGGTTATGTGTAAATGGCAGGACTGTGCCCCCAACATTCCACCCAGCCATGCCTACACGTAGGAATAGAAACTAGGCTGAGAGGTGTATGTACGTGTATATAGGTGACGAACTTTGCCAGCTGATTGACAAAGGGGCAGGGAAACTGAACTCCTGGATGAGAACAGGACCCTTTTGCCCTCACTTACTATTCTGACTTGTATTGCTGGGGTTCCCCCATGCCATTTTAAAAATGTTAGTAATGTCTTTAGGCAGAAATTGATGTTTTGATTTATTTGTGGTTTTTTTCTATTACAATAAAAAGATATACAGCAAGTTTTCCTGTTTGCATGTATGTGTCCACACAGCTGCCCAGAAGTCATTTTCTTCACTCTGGTCCCAGCCGGAAAATACAAGATAAGAAACTGTGTGAGCAGTTTGAGCCAGGTGCTGCTACTGGAAGCAGCGGTGGCTACTGCCCTTGGCTAAAACTGGTCACAGGCAATGTTCTTATTTACAAAAGGGAAATTTCCCCGAATTTAAGCACTGTGGTATGTTACAGAGACCACTTTCCCCAGGCTTGACGCAGCTTGACTGAGCTGAATACAGACCAGGCAATAGGTTTGCTGTCACCACAGGTTTTGTACAGCCCTGGCCCAGCCAAGTGTGCAAGGATGAAACGTCTAATGTGTGCTGTTGAAGGAGAGGCCCAACAGAGCTTAAACATGAGAAAAAGCTCCAATTTTTTCATTATTATCTCAATGTTACAACTTTCAAAAGGAAAAAAAAGCAGCTTTAAGAAGCAGACTTCATGCCTGGGTTCCTCTGGAGCTGCAGAGGGGATATTGGTGAAGATTAGGTAGCACTGCCCATTGCCTCTGCCAATGGGCTGTTAAGGAGCAGGGGAAATACCTGACACTGGGGAAGAAATGAATTCTGCCTGCTTCAGCCTCTTGAATGCTTATTGATGGCATTCAAATTATAAACCACAGAGCTCGCTCTTTGTACAACAGTCTGTATCAGTGTAATACAGAAGAGGACTTGTAACAGAGGGGGACTTTAACAAAGATTCATGATTAGCATTAATTTAGGATGTTACTCAGCTGTGGTGTTGGTTTTCTATCAATTACCAGTATTAGGCCAAGATAAAATACCTGGGAATGCATATAAAAGGCAACCCTTTTCCTTAATGGCTGGCTTAGACAGGGTGTGAGCCAGCACTCACGGCCACTTACCTTCTAAGCTCCATGCAAAATATTTGCCCTTGCTGCGAGTAGCAGAGATTTTATTGGGGATGGCAGCTGCTGCCTCTCCAAGCAGCAATCAAGGGAACTTACCAAGAGTGGTTTAAGTGCAAAGTATTAAATAACCAAAACAGCTACAGTGAGCCTGTTCTCAGAGACAGCGAGATGAAGAATAAGCACAGCTGTACGCAGCTGTGCACTTCACCTAAAAGCAGACTCATGGTCTCAAGGAAACCAGGATGGCATATGTCCTCACTGGCTGATACCAAATGGCAGTCAGGGTGCTGGAGAGGTGTTTTGACTTGAATAGAGTTTCTAAAGCAGCGTGACAAATAAGCTGGAGAAAGCACGGCAGGTAGTTCCAGTTTTGGAAAGCTCTCCTGGTAGGATACACCCGATGGCAGTGTAGGAGTGCAGAAACGTGAAGGCTGACCCGTGTTTTAGCAGACTTCCCAATTCTGGGAAGTGCCCCGAGGTGGCACTGCTGTCTTGCAGCACAAGGGTGCACCTGAGCTCTGAGGGAGCAGCTCCTGCTTCTGGGATGTCCAAGAGTAGTTGTCGGTGCAAGGGGTGAGGAGGAAGGTCTCAAGAAAGCTGTGGGCAGGAGCAGGACAAGACCGTGGGGCACCTTGGGCTACAGCAAAATTTGAGTGCCGGTACAACGAGCAGGCTGTGACAGGAGTGAGTGGGCAGGTTTTGCTGACACCACATCTCCTCCACCCAGATGTGGAAAGTCTCGTCCTAGTTCCATTTGTTGCTGATGAAAACATAAAGGCTTAAATTTCTGAACCCCTGGGAGTTCGCTGTGTGTCTGACCCCACAGCTGTGTTTTGAGAGTCTTGGGCATTAGCTCATAGCTCTGCTGCATGGGAGAGTGGCTGTTTGGCTTCTGGCAGTCAAGCAACCCAAATCCATGAAGGCATCTCTACTTGCTCTTCAGCATGCCATGGTAGACACACTTTGAAGTATTCATATTCTGGAGTAAGCGTCCCCACATTAACTGGTGAGGGACATACGTAAGCACACCTAGATAAGCCCTATAAATGAGCGTAACCCTAAACTGAACTAAAAATTCATCACCCAATTGCATATTAAGTAGCTGAGAAACCGTTCTGGAAGCTTCAACGCATCTGAGAGTCCAGCTTTCCAGAGGTGGGAATTCATAAAAAGGAGCTGATCCAGAAAGCTCCAGAGACCGTGATTTTGCAGGAACATCCATGCCAGGACAAGTACCACTTGTCCACCATCCAAGACTGCCTGACTCACTATGCCATGGAGGCAACTCACAGAAACAGAGTGGAAATAGCTATCGCAGTGGCATTAACTGGTGGACACGATGAATGCCTTCCCCAGCAAGTAGCTGAGGATGTTTTGGTAAACCTTGTCCAAGGCAGTGGCACAGAGGTAAATTATTAACA